AACCCAGCCCTGGAAGGGATTAATAATTATACTTTCAAACCACAAATAATTTAAGGCATCCTCTCCTTTCGAATGGGTCTGTTAAGTCAACAAACTAACTAATAAACTAACTGGCCTTAAATGTCAACTTCACAGTCATTAAATGTAGTTTCTTTGTCTACTTGGCTGTTTAACAGTTCTCTCTCGCATGATGCAACCAGTAATACTACTAAGAGCATTGGAATTAAAAGTCCAAAATCTGACTTGGAGGAAAGGACTGCCTTCTAAGACTGAGCTCTGCCATTTAACAAAGTGACAAAAGTTTTTATTCTTTTATTAAGAGCTGAGGGTAGGGGAGGACAGATGGAACAACCTAAAAATGACTTTCGTAAAGATTTTAGACAAATAAAACCATTATTTCTACTAGAAAACAAACAGTTGAGACAAATTTAAAAGTCTTGTAGCTTGATATGGCTAACTGACCGGGCTAAAAGAGGCTAAACTGTTAGCTACTGAGCACAGCTAGCCACAGTGCTACCCAGCTCTCCTCCTTTATATTATGGTATAATAGTTACTTTGTTCACCATAAACCGATTTTTTTTCTCTTTTGTTATCAATCAGATAAAACTTCATCGGTCATTAGACACGCTAACGCTACAAAAGCTCCCGGTTTGGCACACGGACGCTGCGTGATGTTAATATCGTTGTCTGGGCAACCACTATGTTTTACATCATGTGGCGATGTTCAGCTAATGATGTTGCGTAAAGTTACTGGCAATGGCAGGACCTGATCAAATCTGGTACCTACACCGGCAGAGTAGCACCATAGCACATTCTCATCACCTCAGCTTCCAGTGAAACTAAACCTGATTTATGCTCAGAAACCAGGTTGTCTGCGTGTATGTCACAGTTAACGCAGATATGACCAACCCCCCCAGTAGCTGTGTGTGACGGTCTGTTTTTTGTACCTGAAGCCAAAAAGCGCCACGGACAGTCTTTGGGAAACCCTCACGGGTTAACTGTGTCTCGGGCGTTCAATGAGGGGGTGTAGACAGCGAACAAGCTCTCAAAACCGACACATGGACACCTATAATCCTAGCTAGTTGGTGGTTGTCCCTCTTGCGTTGTCTTGGAATAACATAACACAGACCGCTCTTCAAAATTGGGCATAAAAATATCTGCATCATACCTGCAAGAAGCTCACTGTGATACACTGCTGCGGGAGGATACCCACCCCTTTAGGTGCCAGGTTGATGTTTTTTATTTTTGATTCTCAGAAATATGTCTTGGTAAACCCTTTACTTTCCTGATGTTTAACAGAACCTGACTAAGATCAGCTGGAATGAGGAAGTTGTGATGGAGCAGATAAAGTCCCTTTCACACAAACCCTGACTGGAGACACGGTAGAATGGATTTACCTAATACCACCATTGGATGTACCTAATATCACCTCGTCTGCAGTAATGCCAGAGATGGTGCTCTTATTGATCAAGCACAATTTAAACGAGACATTACATCTGACCAGCTACTGATTGTCTAATGCAGGCGATGGCTTGGAGACGAGGGTCGTTTCTCAATTCGCGATTTAAGTCCAGTCTTGGCAAAAACACAGGAAAGTCTGGATTTGGTGAGAACGGGAGCACGCAGCTAAATATGGGTCAATTGGAACAGAAGCGTACTGATGACATCACCACACGCTCTGCTCGTCTAGAGCTACATTTCACCTCCTGTTATTAATAGTCTCTAGATAATAATAAATTACTTTTTTTCATTTAGTGAGGGGAAATAATGATGGACACAGTCAGATAAACACAAATCAAATGAAAATTTTGCCAAATAAAACAAAAAAGTCCCCATCAGGGTCAGTAGTCCTTCACATACGGCTATACAGAGAGAGGGATGCTGCAGACGGGCTGAGGTTAGCCCCGGCTGCCGTTACCCTCGTAGGTCCGCTGGTTGCCGCGGTCCTCTCAACTTCAGAAATCTTTTTTTAAAGTTACCCATTAAATCGGTAAATGGACCATATAGTGACACTTTAAAGTATAATATTCTCGCCTGAAATTATCTTAAAATGTACTTTTATTGAACAACAGCAACAGAAAGAGAACTTTAAACTTTCAATGGAGCGCTTCATTGAAAGCTGCTGCTGCCGCAGTGCATGCTGGGACAGCTGTCAATCTCAAGAACGGCAGGTCTGCTCTGATGCATACTCGATAAAGGGGGCGGGGCGAGAACAACATCTGGGGATTTGGTGCGTTCTCGGGTATTGGAACAGTGCTCGGGCTGAGGCTGATGACGTTTCACGAGAACGCTCAAGAACGCATATTGAGAACCGGCCCAGTAGTTCTAACAGTTGTTGGTAGCGTTATGAAAACTTCTCACAAAATCTATATTGGACAGGGCCGTTGCTAGGCAACATATTACCACCAACGCTATACAGTTGTCTTGTTTTTTTTGTTATTTTGATTGGCAGAATGCATTTTTTTTACTTCAATGTGTAACGTCATAATTTCTGACAATTTTCTTGCTGTTTTGAAGTTTTTCCTTTTTACTGATAAAAATATTGTTTATGTTGTAGCTTCTTAACATTTAGACTACTTTTTTTTTTATCGCTGTCTTTTTATTGAGTTTTCCTTTTATACATACAGTTTGTAAATTAAAAAAAGTATTTATCTAGCAAAGATAGATATTAAATAATATACAGAAAAAACAACAATCCCTACAAAAACAATCCCATTTAGCCCTGCCCTCTCACTACCAAGAGGTCAACGCACTACTTTCCTATCCCTGACTGAGACAGAACACATTTTATTAAATCTAAACCTTTTTAATCTGGAGCATTATTGTAAGTTTTGGAATGAGTCAAGAAAAGGCCCCCGTATTTCTTCAAATTTACCAGTTGAATGTTGGATAGAACATTTAATTCTTTCCAGTTTCAGACATGACATGAGGTCACATAACCACTGTTTGTGAGTTGGAGGAGCCGCACCCTTCCACCTGGTTAGAACTGTGCGCCTCGCTAACAGTGAGCAGAATGCCAGCGCCTGTCATTTAGAGGCTGGTAAAGGCGACCCCTCACCACTAAAACCATCTGTCCAGAAATGACCAAGAGTAGGGCAGGACCAAGACTTATGGACCAGTGTGGCTACAGCAGTTTTGCATTTATCGCAGTAAGGGGTGACTCCTGGATAGAAACGGGATAGTTTGTCTTTAATGAGGTGGGCTCTATGTACTATTTTAAACTGAACATTTAGACTACTTTTAAAAATTTTTTAATCAAAGCTTAGACACTCTTAGGGCAATACACTGCCTCAAACATGTTATAGATTTAAGGAGAACGCTTCCTCCCACCCTGGTGTTTCCTGGTGTTTGTTTGCACTGAAGTGCCACCAGGGGTCTCATTCCAGGTAATTCATCAATCAAATCCTCCATCCCCTTCTTTTCTTTGTGTTGCGCCTCATTTTATTCAACACTGCAAAAACAATCTAGAGATAAGTAAGAAATTCTTATATTAAGTGTATTTACCCTTAATTTGAGTAGGTAAATAAGTTGAATTTCCAATGGAATGAGTATTTTTACCCTTAAAATAAGATCATTAGATATGCACTTGAAGTAAGTGATGGCAGTAGTGTTTTTTTTTTTACTATTTTAAAAGTAAATTGTCTTGTTCCATCGTCACTTACCTGCTCAATAAAAGAAAAAAAAGCACTTATTTTAGGAAATATTAACCTACTTAGATTTAAAGTTATTGTCGTGTAGAAGAGCTTGGTCTGAGGCGCTGTTTTCATTGGCCAGGGAAGAATGAATGAATTCATTGCTGCACTTTTGATCTGCGGTTTTGGAAACCGATGGAAATGCCTCGACTTGGTCACGCAGTTGCAGCAAATTGATTTAGTTTTTATTACTGGATTGCTGGTTGTAGATTGGATGAATAGCATTTCAGAGGGAATTGGATTATGGATATTTGGGTTGAAAATTTTCCTTTTCTAGCAAATGTTAAACCGCCTTACTGAGAGGAAGCGGATCAATCATGTGTTGTGCTGAATGAACCAAAAGCAGCAGTGAGGATCCTGCCTTCAATTGATCATTTCAGAGTTCCTAAAATCTCACTTGTTTTTCTAAATATGTCTGAGAAGCATTGTTCCCTCTCTCTTTTTCCTTGGTTTTCTGGATAGACTCCTTTAACTTTAACCTCTTAAGGCCCAAGCAGTTTTTTTTATTACGTACATTTTTTATTTCTCTTTGTTATTTGGGCTTGTTTGAACCCAATTAGAATAAAAGTGAAACATCATATTTCAATGTTATTCAGTTTTAGAGAAAAAGGATGTTCACATATGTGGACTCATGTTCCCAAGCTCCATAAAACACAATTAAGTCAACTTTGGATAAGAGGGTGAAAAAAACTCTTATTTCCACCTTAAACGCAGCATTTTTTTTCTGACTGCTTTAGAATATATTGATAACAGATACACATATTTTTAAAATATGTTTTGATTATCAAAGGGTAAAAACAACATGAGAAACATTTGATTTTTGGCTGTTTGAACCGTTACACCAAACAGATGATATTAGTTGCCTGTAACAAAGTATACAATAAAAATCCAAAGCATTTCCAACTGTTAGTATTGTATCAACCTACTACTGTGAGCCAGGGTGAACTTCGAAGTGAACCAAGTTCCTCGTTTGTACGGTGGTTTATCTGAACTGGAGATGAACTTTCTCTCACCCTCCTGATCAAACTGGACAATCATTTTCTAACTGTGGTGCGTTTCTGTCAGGCACTGGGACTTAAACAGACTGATTCACTTCTGTTGTTTCACCGTTTCTCTTTCTGAACTTTAAGCAGCCAGATCACAGCACACATTGCTCTGCCGCTCAGTTAAATTCCCCTTTTCTTCAGGACTTTTTTTTTCTTATGATGTTTAGAGAATTTTTCTTTCAATATTTTCCCTTTGCCTGATTTGTTCTCATTAGTTTCTCTGCACCCCCTCCTCTCCTTTCCACACATCCTGTTCATTCAGGTGGTGAGTCAGCGGTTCCCTCAGAACAGCATAGGTGCGGTGGGCAGCGCCATGTTCTTACGCTTCATCAACCCAGCCATTGTGTCTCCCTACGAAGCAGGCATCCTGGATAAAAAGCCCCTGCCCAGAGTAGAGAGAGGTCTCAAACTCATGTCCAAGGTAAGTCCTGGAAACCATTTACTCTTCTTGGAAAATGGAAAAATTACCCATTTCTATTCATTTTGATTCAAATTACTATTTTAAAGGAGAGTATCCTGCAAAATGGCTCTGAAATACATATAAATCTGCACATAGAGTCCTTAAAAGTCCAGAAAAAGTTGTATTTAGTCTTCAGGTTCTTATATTTAGATGCTGTTTGAAGCATATTTTCCAGGTTTCTTCATCATTCTCTTGCATTTCTCCATATTTGTGTGGAACTACTAAAAGGTCATGGAAACCCAACCAGCAACTCCGCCATTTTTTCTCTCTCAGTATTTTTGTTGTTCAAGTCTTGAAACAGCAAAGACCCTCTGCTCAAAATGAACACAAAGACAAAACAGACAATGTAAAGCGCTTTCACTGCAATAAATGGAAATCAAAGTCATTTTAGCTTAAATTAAGTGCATTTTTTCCTTAGTTGGCAAATGGAACAAGACAATTTATATTTAAAATAAGAAAAAAGCATTAGAAAACCAGCGTTCAGACACCTGAGGAGCAATAATAAGAAATCCAGACCAAAGCACTGCAGTTCCACTTTATAAAACCACAATTGAGAGACTTGAATGGGAAAAGGAATTTAAAAGCACGATATGTGTTACTTTAGAAGAACAGTCTAAGTTCTGTTAGGATGAGAACAGCAATAGCTCCAGGATGCAACTGAGGTAAATCTGAACCATGTTGACCATGTCTTGAGAGATAATAAGCAACACTAGACTTAATGAAGCTGTTCTTGTTTGCTTTAGTTTTTTCTCCCAAGTTGTTTCTGTGTTTATTTGTATGAAACATGTTTCACTAAAATCTGAGCAGTTTAGGTGGACAGATGTGAGCAGCTGTCTGCTTCCATCTGTCTGGGACAGAACGGGTCTTTATAGCAGCATGGCAGACACCCGGACATAAACCACCTACTGCCGCGGGATTAAATCCCACTATCTGTGTTCATTTAATCTACTTTGGGACCAGTTGTCTCCAGTTTAGACAACAGGCCTGGGTTTAAAATATTTCATTTTGCTTAGTCTCATCCACATTTAAAGGTATTGTGGAGGATACCAGCTTGCTGTGTCTGAACGTCCGCCCTAACCCCTAAATCCCTCAATCACTGTATAAAGCAGGCACAATATAGTGAACGTTGGTGAACTAAGTTAACTGACCGTTTGGACAAATGCTCACTACTTTTTGCTCCGTGTAAAAAGTAACTCCTTATCCACTGCGCGGTCCCTGCGCAATCTTTGTTATTAGTCGCTGATGTCGGGTAGTGACAGCCTATGGCGACAGCGGGCCGCTGTGACATCCCATAATGCTTTGCCAGGAGAGCTCTCCACGCAAAGCATTCTGGGATATATCTGCCTCTTCTGAGGCCTTTCTTTTCATCTCATACACCTTGTAGAGACTTTTTCTCTTGCGACCCTCAGCCATTTTCAAAGAGCCGCGGTGAGTAAGGTGAGCTTCAATGACTGTGTGAAACCGTAGATCACCACAGAGATACGGCTGAAAGAAGATAGCTAACAGGGCGAGAACCTAGGACAGCTCACATAAACCTATCACCAGAATGATTGACAGTTAGGAGGACCACTTATTTAGGCCCCGTCCACACGAAGTCAAAACGAACACGAAACGCTGATATTTTCCAAAACGTTTGTAAAGACGGAGACGTAAAATAAATGTGAGCGTCCACACGAATGCATGAAAACGCTGCAAAATGTATGCCAGGCCTGTAAGTGGCGCTGTGGTGCCAAAGCAAAAATAAACGACGAAATGTTGGGCATGCGCACTAATATTTATACATGGTTGCCCTGCGGGTCCATTTTCGTGGTTCAGTCAAATTCAGGTGCTGAACTATGTCGTCGATATTGCTCTGTTCTTCCTGGAGATATTCCAGAAGAAGAAGATTCTGTTGTAAGCCCGACAGCAGGGTGAGTAGCATGAGCAGCAACCATTCAACACAGTACGGCGCCATTGTTGTTGTGATACTGTGTCACGCATGCGTGTTTAGAGGCGACGCTATGACGCATGCGTGTAAGAAAAAAAATGCGGTTAGAGCTTAAAGATGGAAACGCGAAAACGGCGTTTCAAAATCTTCCCACTCTGAAGGCTGAATAAAAAAAAGATAGTTTACAGACCCCCGAAACGCCGGCTTCGTGTGGATGAGAGGCTGGTTTGGTGAAAAATTTGTGCGTTTAGGCCAGGGTTTGACTACGTGTGGACGGGGCCTTAGATGATCCACCCGGAAGTAAAAGATTGTTCTCTATACCTTTAAAGGAGCTGATTGTAAGGTTATTAGTCTAAGCCTTGCCTGTTGATGCTAGATGAATGTGACCTCTGTGGCCCGGAGTTATGTGATCAGTAGGGCTGCAGCTAAAGATGATTTCACAAGTCGATTGGTCGGTTGAATATTTTTTCCTTTAATTGGTTAATAATCAGATATCCAAATGTTTTTTAAAGAAGTTTTTTTTTTTTATGAGATTAAACCAGGTTAAACTAAAAAATTTTTGCTTGAGGAGTTTTGGATAGAGCAGATTGACGGATGAAAACATTTTTTTTCTTAAATGCAAAATGTTGATATATTTTTATTTCAGTAATTGATTAATCCCATTAATTGTTTCAGTCCTGGTGATCAGATCTTGTCTCTCCTCTAGATTCTACAGAGTATTGCAAACCATGTCCTGTTTACTAAAGAAGAACACATGAGGCCTTTTAACGACTTTGTTAAAAGCAACTTTGATTCTGCAAGAAGGTAAGAGGCTGTTGGTTTTTATGACGATAACGAGCCTTTAATTGAAGAAACATGGTTTTTAGACGACTAAAACAGGACATGCATGGTTTTTATCTAGTATGTGGACTGGTATTAGGGTAGCTGGGTTCAGTTTTGCAGTGGTAGTTCTAATCAGGGCCGTTTAAAGAAATTTGGAGGGGGCCAAGCAAAATTCAGTTGAAGGTTTACTCCCGTCAAGGCGTATTCTGAAAATAAATAAATAAATATATATATAAAAGCATATAAGCTCCAGCAGCTTATATATAAGTGTATTTCCATAAACATATAATCCTTTAGGTGAATCTTTGGTTAAAGGTTTCTGATGAGCTGCACCTCTCCGTCTGCTGCAGGTTTTTCTTGGACATAGCCTCCGACTCTCCACCCAGTGATTCGGTCAACCACAGTTTGTCCTTCATCAGTGACGGTAACGTGTTGGCGCTCCACCGCCTGCTGTGGAACAACCAGGAGAGGATTGGCCAGTACCTCTCCAGTAACAGGTCAGGATCGCCCCCATAACTGTTGCTGGCCTTGGTTTAGAAATTAGTTCTGACAAGATGCTTGTCTGCTGGATCTTTCCAGAGACCACAAGGCGGTGGGCAGGCGGCCTTTTGACAAGATGGCCACCCTGCTGGCCTACCTTGGACCGCCAGAACACAAGCCTGTTGCGGACACCCACTGGTCCAGTCTCAACCTAACCAGCTCCAAATTTGAGGAATTCATGACCAGGTATGAAGTCGACTGCTTTGGTTTTTACCTGCATTCATACTGGAATGTTTTATTGACTGACAAAAACTAGCATGTTAGTCACACTTCAGTGTTTCATCAAACTACTTTAAATTTTAGTCCAAGTAAACATAAAATTCAGTTTATGAATACATTTGTTTTTTAACTAAGGGACAAATATCCAAACCTCCAAATCTGTGTGAAAAGGTGAACACTACACCTGTTCACCAAAAGGTCTTTAGAAGATAGACCACATGCTGAAATCCAGAAAATTGAGGAACAATGACAATGTAGTTCTGGAAAGGGATACAAATCCATTTGTAAAACTTTGGGACTCCATTGAACCAGATTGAGATCAATGATCCATAAATAGTGAAAACTCAGGAGAGTAGTGAGGCTTTCTAGGAGGGTACTGCCGACCAAAATCACCCCAAGAGTGCAGCAACTAATCACCCTGTAGGTCTAAGGTGCCTGATGACATTCAAAGACCTGCAGGCCTCACTACCTCAGTCAAAGTTCATGTCTGAAGGAGATGAAGCAGAAATGGCTGCCTCCATAAAATGGGAGTCTTTTATCAGACTTATTTTTACTTTTATTATATATATATATATATACTTTTTCAAAAGTATTATACCTGGGACTACAGGGGTGCACTAATTTTTACACCAAATGAGACAACGGTCACATTTGGGGCCCTGTCACACCTTGCTTATTTAGCCAGTATATTCCTGATGTCCCAGAATTTCTTAAAACGCTGGCTTACACTGAACTTTCTATGAATTTTTTTTTTATTTTGGGTATAGAGTATTTATAACGAGTCCAGAACTTATGTCCAACAGCAGCCTGACTTATGTGGCGCCCGGCCTGCATAAAAATATGTCTTTGATCGCGGTATTAACTTAGCTGCTGTTTATCTCCCGTCCAAAAAAGAAAGAAGGTTTGCAGTCACTGCAGATTGAGCGTCATGTCTGCTAGGAAGTTTGTTGGTGGTGGTCGTGAACGCAGGGAGGATCCATCACACTCACCTTCTGGCTCACCCTATGATGGGGATGAAGTCTGGAGGAGAACTGACGGTTTCCTCCTGTGAACCCCCTTTATACCAAAACGCTGCCAATACGCCATTATACAGTAGCTGGAAGTTAGAAACACGTTCAGCGCTCGCCTGGAACACGTCAGATACGTTGATATGGGTTGGAGAGAAGTTCTGGATAAGTTACGCATCAGTTATACACAAGTTACTCATAGGTTTAGGATCAGCTAGACGCCACAACTGATGAGTAACTAACACTTAAGCCAATGTGCAAGTTGCAATTATGTCAACGATCATATAACTTGCTTGTAACTAATAGCCCATGTGTGAGCAGACACTGGCATATGTTGAGAAAACATATGCCATATTCTCAACATATTCCCCGTATGGCGATGCATGCCAGCGTGCTTCAGATTGCTCATAACTTACACAAAAGGTACCCATAAGTTATCCAGCGTATGCCAGCATTTTTGCCAGATTTTTAATATGTTAGGCATACGCTGGCTAAATCGTGAAGGTGTGACAGGCTTTAGCAGGAGTTAAAAAAATGAAAAAGTATGACTCATGCAAAATGGACCCAATAGATCAGGAAACTGATAGTCTGGTTTCCTCTAAGGCAGGGATGTCAAACTGGTTCCAGAAAGGGCCATGAGGCTGCAGGTTTTCTTTCCAACCAAGCAGTAGCACACCAGACTCCATTCATCTAATTAAGTGAGTTCAATCTGAACATGATGACTTGATGAGATGAATGGAGTCTGGTGTGCTACTGCTTGGTTGGAAAGAAAACCTGCAGCCACATGGCCCTTTCTGGAACCAGTTTGACATCCCTGCTCTAAGGCAAACTTGTTTGAGTCCTTAGTTATTTACGGATACCTTTCCTTGTTTTCTTCATAATATCATCTTATTGTTCAACAAGTGACAATCAAACATATTCTTTTATTGTTTAAAATTTAACTTGACAATTTTAAGTGTTTTATTCCTTGTGGCCTGTTAACCCATCCAACTTGGCAGGTTTGGATCAGTAAGACGGGGCAGTTTGTCTCCCTCCCCAGTCTGCAAACTCAAAGAGTTTAAAGTTTGCAGAGGAAGAGGGACTGAACCTTTTATATCTTTTCTATTTTTAAGGCACCAGGTCCATGAAAAGGAGGAGTTTAAAGCCTTAAAGACGCTGAACATTTTCTACCAGGCAGGCACCTCCAAGACCGGAAACCCTGTGTTCTACTACGTGGCTCGCAGGTAGGACCTCCACTGCTGGAATTCTTTAATTACCAGCACCAACATGTTTAATCAGATCACTTCCCTTGATGGATTTCCTTTGTCATCTGCTAAGAGCTGTTACCATGAATGTCCTGAAACATTATCAGGAACAGCTACTGAGAGAATCGGTTCCTTTAAAACTTTTACTGAATGAACAAAACCTCAACTGATGGCTGATTCACATGGCAAGATTTAGAACTCAGGAGATAAAACTTAGACCTTTAATATATGCTGTTAACTCCAAAGAAAGAGATTGTGGTACTAGTCAGGTAACCTGAGGTCCCGACTTGTGCTCTACAGTCCTTTGTTTTTCACTTCTGTCTCGCAATGTCCTGCATTTGACTTTCCATCAATAATCCATCAAAAGGCAACCATTATCTGTTCATAAGTGGTGACAGGTGGTGGTCTGCCCAAGTTATGTTAAAATTTTACTGCAATTTTAAGTATTCAGAAATTGTTGATGGAAAATGCAAAAGAAGATAAACATTTTGTCTCACCAGCTTTGATTCTGTTCGATGTTCGTAGTAGGGATGGGACGATTTATGAAAACCGTCCGAACTGTTCGGTTCGACTGTCTCGGTTCGATTTGCGTGTGTTGCGTTCGGTTCATGCGCTGCTCCTTTTTCTCATAGGCGAAGCTGATTGCTTGGAAC